AAATTTTCTTATTTTACTTTTCCCACCACCAAGTTTATGCCGAATATCCCCTCTACTCTTGCCTACACGCAGGGCATCACGGGCCCGAAGGGGGGCGCAGCCATAAATTTTATGACTTGAGACAATTTAGCCTAATTGAGTGCGGGAGCTGAAGTAGCTCCGAGAGCTGAGGTTGCCCACCTCTGTTGTAGGCTGTTCTCTTCCCTTACCCGGGAGAGGCATCTTGTCGTTGATTTTTGTAAAATGTTTAACATTCAGTTGTGTACTGAATGAGTCGTTGTTCGTCCCTTTTCGGAGATGGTCCGAGCTTGGTTGTTGTAACAACCACGTCAATAGGTCCCTCGTTCACTCACTCTAATCGGGTGGTTCAGTCCAATTTGCTACTCAATGCGTTGGTCAAAGTTGTCCAAGTGGGAGACTCCAGTTGTCGGGTGGATTTTGAATGATGTTTTGAATCAATGATGATTTGATGATGTCAATGTAAATGAGAATGATGTAATCCAATGTGTATCAGAATGTGATCATGATGATTATCGGAATGATGATGTGAGCTGCCGAGTTTCTGTTGAGCGGGCCCTTATATAGCCCAAAATGGTGAAGTGGGGTAAGGACGTCGTGTGCCTACCACTCCCCACTAAGTCATCAAAGCGTTACCGTACAGGAGAGACGTAAGGAGCGTATAGGTAATGTAGCGACCGTTACGTCACATAATTTTAAATTCAACTAGTTAGGCAGGAGTCGAGCCTTTATTTTTAATTTTCCTTTGAAATTACGTAATAGGGGTGAAAATTTTTCATCTAATTATTTTTTACAATACAGTGAATATTTTGAAAAACCGAAATTATTAATCGTTGTGTAACATGATAAAGCGAATAGGAATTGGATTCGTGAGAAAGAATAGGTTCACTCGGAAAACTAATGCGAGTGAAAACATCACTCGTATGACAATGCTGCATAGCCTCTTAATAGCTTGGAATTCCACTGAGATATTGAGCTGAATGTAAAGTGACTACAATCCAGGAAAAAAATTAATGAAACTGTTACAAAAATTCAACTTACCGAATGAGTCTTTTAAAGTATTCCTCTAGTAATAGCCATTCCGAAAAATATATGGAAGGAAATCCATCTTTTTCGGAGATTTTGACTGGCTAATGTTACTTTAATTTTGAGTAAAAATGAGTATTTTCTAAGAAGAAATGTCTTCAGAAAATGGTGTCAATCCATATTTACGTCTTGCATGCCCGTAATCCACGATTCCACCGAGTGAAGCGACCCGTTTGACCGGTGGATGAAGGTTTAAAACGTGGTTCATTTTAGGTCATTGTTTGGCAACCACTACATGACCGATATTAGCTCATGCCTAAAGGTCAATGCCGTCTATTAGTCTTGGCCAACATTTAGCAACCAGCCTTCTCAAACCAAGGACTCATGAAGACTGAGCCAGGAACGGTTACAGACTGGCGTGCAAGGCTCGGCCTGTTGGCTGCCACTCAAGGGCCAAGATTGGCCAGTCATCATTTTCGGTCGCGGGACGCACGACATAATGCTACGTATCAACTTTTCCATACTATATATGTAAGTCACAAAATGGTGTTAACAGGAGAAACAAAAAATGTAAAGAGGAGTGCTGGAGAATTATAAGGACAGAGTATTTTCACAAAAACATACCGGGACACAAACAGCTATTTTCACTTATTTATGTCACTCAGCTAGCTTTAACCACGCACTTATATTGACTGAGAGAGGTAAGTGGCCACTGATCACCTTCCTTTTTATTTACCTCCCTTGGGCAATAAAAATACTTGGTTAGTGGGCACTCGGAACATGAAGTAATATATGCCACACGATCTGAAAAGTATTTCAGTGACGTATTTCAGAAAAATGCACTACAAAGCCGCGGCTTTTAATCAAATATGTTGCCAAAATAATGTTCAGCTCTTGTAGCATAAATTGCTATTGTTTCTTATCACTCATTAAACGGTTTTCAAAAATTTGATAAAACTGTACTCACTCGATGGCTTCGGGAGGCTTTTGGGTCTAAATACGTCCGCAATTTTGCAAGGTAATGGGAGGGTGGATCTTTTGCTTGCACTCGTTCCTGAAAAAATATACTATTAGTAAATGCATGCGAATCACAAAAAAGGAAACTTAGAACTTAGTACCCATTCCCATAATCGAATAAATTATGATTGTAACATGATTGTACAAAATGTGCGTGCCGAGCAATAATAGTAAAAAACATAATTGAACATAATAGAGATTCAATTATTAACAAGTGTCCAATGATAATAGTATCTTATATTACAAGCGAATGAAGTGAAAAGTGCGTGGGAGGATTACGTACGATTCGCCTGATAATGCTTCGTCAAGTGTCACTTCCCCCAATGACAATCCGCCTACCGTTACGATTTGATTGAAGTTTCGCCTAAGTCCAATTTCACCTCAAAACATTTTGCCAAACTTACAATTCGTGTAATAGTCAGACTGCCTTAATATGTACTAAAATCCAGATCCGACATGTGTAAAGTAAATGGTAAAAAAATCAAAATTAAAAGTATCCGAGAATGTAAAAATCAGAGTGCATCCAGGCCACACAACAGAAAGGAGGAAAGTTGTGGAAGGATTCACGCATACCGCAAACTATTGGACTTTGCATCTGTCCCTCCGTAGTCTGATTACGTAATTACTGGGTTAGTATAGAAGAAATATAGAGTAAATATAACGTCCAGGTCCACCAAGAACAATAATCACTGGAATAATCATGTCTCTGATGCAAAACCCATTCCTATCCTCTTGATGGATAGAACCAAGATGAGATAACATTCGTCTACAAGGAAGCAACTCTGCAGGGTACCCCTCTGACGTCACGACTGACAGCATCGACCGCTCTTCATTGTGGAACCTCCAAGGCAACGTCAATTTGCAGGACCAGCTCTTGTTGCCGAAACAGGCATCATCCCGAGTGCCCAGCTCGGGGTATTTCTCGTTAAACAATCACTGACCTGGTAAATCACTCAGCGTACAATTGAGCTCATCCCGAGTGTAAAGCTTAGGGTATTTCTCGTCGAACCAGCACAGAGCTGGTAAATCGCTCAGCGTACAACTAAGCTCATCCCGCGTGTATAGTTCAGGGAATTTTCTCGCCAAGCCAGCTTTGAGCTGGTAAACTACTCAGCCTACAACTAAGTTCATCCCGAGTGTGCAGCTCAGGGATTTTTTTACGGCTGGTAATATAAAGCGAGTGAACCACCAAGTTCTTCCTGGGTGGACAACTCAGGCCTGTCAACACCAGCAACACCCCCAGATTCATCTCCACATCATCTTTAGCAGTGCTAAAGAAGCGTGTTTGAGCGTTGTCAACTCCGTCAGTGCTAGAAGAACTAATAAATTATTGGAGTTTCCCGGACTCCACTACGAATAGGAAACACCGAGAGATCGCCCCGGCCTTGCTGCCGTCTATTTCTACTACCGTATGTCAGAAAAACACACCAGCAACATTCATACTATTCTAGTGATCCAACGCCACCCATCGTCATCAACAATGGTAATATCAACATCAAAGCATTAATTGAGAAAATACTCGCTGATGTCTCTAACAGAGGCATCAAATTTAAGTGCCGAGGTAACTCTACAACCATCTCGCTCCAAAATCGTGTTGATCATGGGAAAGTGTGCCAAATTCTCGAAAAAGATAATATTAATTACTTTACTTATGGGTTCAAGCAGGACAAGACCACCAAATTTATCCTGAAAGGCCTCCCCCCAATCTTTTCAGAAGACGACATGGAGGCTGAACTTTCTGCCGGTGGAGTCGAGGTTATCACGGTCAAACAATTCATCAAAAAGGACAAAATTAATGATACCTCCACCAAACTCCCGATTTTTGCTATCACAGTCGGTCCTGTTATTAAAATTACTGATATTAGAAAAATTCCCACAATCCTTTATCACACTTTCCAAGGGGAGAAATTGAGATCGGATGGCCAACCTCTTCAATGCTTTCGTTGTCAACACTTTGGTCACGCTAGCAACCATTGCAACCTCCCACATCGATGGATCAAATGTGGATCAAATATTTTCCCCATTATCCCTAGTGCTAGAGAAAGGATCTCTAGACTCAGAAAAACTGATTTCCCCTTAGAAAAACTGAAAATCATTATTTAATATGAACATCTATTCAACACCAATTTCTCTCATGGCTCATCGGTTGAAACTTAATTTTAATATTCTAGCCTCAAACATAAATGGCCTTAAACCTCATCTAACCGAACTAATCCATATAATATTAAATTACAATGTTAAAATCATACTTCTTTCAGAAACGAAGCTGAATAAATATATCAAAAAAATCAATTTTCTTAACTTCCATATTGTCAGAGCTGACAGAGTCGACAGAGCCGGGGGTGGTGTGGCTATTGCGATCCACAAGTCTCTCAAATTCAACGAACTTCCTTCTTCTAACAAATATAATAACGAATACTATTTCCCTCGCTCTTGGAAATTGGCAGTCATCATCCCGATATTAAAACGTGGTAACTCTCCTTATGAACCAGTCAGCTACCGTCCGGTAAGCTTGCTCCTTAATTTAGCAAAAATCCATGAAAAAATCATCCTTTCAAAATTGAGTAAATTTATTGCGATAAATGACACTATCCCCGCTGCTCAATTCGGTTTCAAATCCAAACACTCCACCATCCACCAACTCGTTTGTATCGCCAACCACATTAACACCAACCAAGAGGACAAAAAGGATACTGCCATGCTACTGCTTGACAGTGAAAAAGCTTTCGACTCTGTCTGGACCTCTGGCATTATCTACGAATTGATAGAGCTAAATTTTTCGCCGTGTCTAATCAAAATCATCCGATCATAGCTCACTGATAGATTTATTCAGGTTAGAATTGAACAATCTCTGTCAACCAAAGCAAAAATTGTCGCTGGGGTTCCGCAGAGCTCCATTCTTTCGCTAACTCTCTTTAATATATATATTTCTTCTGTTTTTCATAAAACTTCTCCAAATGTTAACATTGCTGGTTTTGCGAACGATTTTGCTCTTTTCGCATCCAGCACTTCGCTAACTAAAGCTGTCGCCAGACTTGAAAATTCTGCTTCCTTCATAATAAACGAGTTCAATAAATGGAAAATTCAGGTCAATGGTACCAAAATCGAAGCTATTATATTCACAAAAAAAAGACAAAATGTAACATTAAAATAAGAGGCCAACATTTAACCCCTTCTGTAAACGTTAAATACTTGGGCCTTCACATAGACAACAATCTTCTCTGGAAAAAAAAGATTAATCTGTCTAACTCCAAAGTCAAGGCTATATTAGCAAAATTATATTTTTTATTTAAATCTCCAGCTCTTAGCACCAATCTTAAAATAGTTCTTTATAAGAGCCTAGTCAGACCAGTCCTAACATATGGGTGCTCAATATGGTTCAAGGCTGCCAAATTCCACCTTGATAAGCTTCAAGTGACAGAAAATGAACTTTCACGTATTATTGGTGGTTTTAAGTTTAGATCATCCATTATTAACATGCATAATGATTTAAATATCGAACCCATCTCCTCTTTCATATACAGATTAGCATCAACCTTCGAGGCTAATGTAATAGCACACCATAACAATTTAACCAAGCACCTAAAAGTAAAAAAAAAATCTAGCTGGTCACACCGATGACCTCCAAACCCTCCCCACATCTCCCCACTTTTCCCCTTCTACACGTCATTCATAGGCTTTTTTCGGAATTCTTTATTTTCCCTATTCATTAAATCTCTGCGCTCATCCCCAATTGCAATCAGTTAATACCTTACATTAAGCCATATTATATTAGGTATAGAGCCAAGGGCTGGAGATCTAACTTATAAGTATCACTACGTGTACATACTCTGTATAATATGTATATATTGTGAATAAACTCTTCTTAAAGTTAAAGTTAAAGACTAGTTAGGGTCAAATCGCTTCAAGGGTTCATCTTTTATTCGATATTTAGATCTACTAGTCACCCAGTGCCCGCAACATCGGCCATGAAAAAAAGGGATTATTTTCCGTTTTTTGGTCTCGTCATATTGATTGGAGCTTTGCACGCCGCCCCGTCGGGAAACATCACCGGGGCTTTCGCTGCTGCGTGTATTTATGCTTAGACGTAGATTTCCACGGAGAGCCCGGTTTTGTCAACCCGTTAGCGAATTCATGAGTCAAGGACAATTTTGGGGATTCGCAAGAATGCATCATGCTAGGGTAATGGGGGAAATAATAAGTAACCATCAAATTCCGAGTCTCTATCTCTCTGTTTCTTCGCGTAGTTTCGCTTGTGAAATAATTTCATTATCACTTTTTCTTTTCTTTATCATGTCACAGCCAAAGTGAATTTGTTCTCCGTTTGTCTGCGATGTTACCCAGAGCCTCCCCCGCTTTTTTTCTTGATTATTAACTTCTCCCCCTTATGCTGTTATTCTTTATTTCAGGGATGTGCAGCCTCTACTCTGAGAGCAAGTCGTGCTCCCGACCTCTATTAGTACATAACAAAGGATAGACGAAAGGCCATAGTGTCGGGTAATATGGCCCAGATCGTAAAGACTCTTCTCCTCGGTTGAAATCAACCGAAGTGGAGGTAACACTTAAGAAAAAGAAAAGAGGAGAAATGTCGCCGAAAAAAAGGAAAAACAGAGAAATGAGTCAAAAATGGAATTTTGAAAGAATTCATTTTGAAAGAAGACGTTATAAATAAAATGTAAAAATCCTCATCCTCTATTGTATTATGTTTAAATTCGAAAGAGAAGTGTGAAATACATATAGTGTTTTGTTGGACTATTCTTCCCGAGTAACTCAATCCCCCACTTAATCTTTCAGGTCCTCCCTTGAACAATTGTTAAACTCAACAGAATTTGCCCCCAACGGTCAAACCACCGGAATTATCGTGCCTTGCCCGAGGATTTTCCAGGTTAACTCTCCGACCAAAGCAAAGTTGTTGTTTCTTGGGAGGCTCTTGAGTTGAATACTTCATTGCATTACATTGCATTTAGTTTTTTGCACTTACTTCACACAACTAATTTTATCATTTAATTAATTTCGTGCTGCCAGTTAGTGTAAGTT